CAAAAAAAAAACCCAACCAAACAAACCCAGCCTATTATTTGGACATATTAACTGAATTTGCTTTGGGGAGTTTATACACCAGCACCTGAAGTTGTGAGCTAAGTGATGTACCACAAAGCACAACATTTAACCTTTAAACAGCTACACCAAAATTAACAGATTAATACAGGAGTCAAATGGATGATAACTTTTACACAAATCATGCTTTTTCCAAGCCATCATTTCTCACCTCCTCCAAAAAGCATGCCAAGATCTTCCGTCAGTGCAAGTTTCTTAATTGTAAAGCTGGGAGAAACAAAATCTTACCTCTTCCTCCTCAAGAAGAATAAGCCGAACCAGCACGATGTGGATTGCATTGCCAATGCTTGGATCATGGAATAACCCTGTGACCTGTGCCAGAGCCAGGAGGTATGAAATTAACTGATTCCTCTATAGCAAGACAGAGCTTTAGAGAGAAAATATGTGGTTTATTGCAAGCACCATTCCCTCCTCATTTTTTTCTCCTGCACATTATTCAGAGAAGGTTTACTTTGCATTGTGAATGCTAATAACTGTGGTGAACTACTGCAGAGGGCAGCCCAGTCAAATGAATAAACATCCAGCAGCTCACAGAAATATTAAGGTATTAAGCAGCAAACCTTAGATCTTGTATTAAAATATTTTAACATAATTTTAAATTAAAAATATGATCAGCACTTGCCCTGCAACACGTCATCATTTATGCCAGTTCAAAATTGGTGTAAAATATTACCAAAGTGTGGTGGAATTTTTACATCCACTTTAAGACATCTACTTAAATTGCGATGTGATAGCAAATCAAGCCTTAACTGGAGCATCTACTGAATCCAACAACAGGATCCTGCTGCACAAAAGGGAAGGGAAGTAATCAATGCTAGACAAATGGAAGCCTAGACAAATGGAAAGATATAGACAGTGGAGCATCCCTAGTATGGAAGTGGAGGTTAAAACTAATGACAATGATTAAAACACACGCACACACACAGTTGGAACTAGACAAAAAATGACAAAGGATGGATGAAGAACTGAACTCTGTGTGACTTCTTGACCCAAATAATGAGCTATGCCCTGTAACACCGTGTGTGATTAGGCAGGTAGAAATAGAATTATGACAGAAGGGAACAAAAAAAAGAAAGAAAAAAAAATTGCACATACAACTGTGGACCTATGAGATTGAGAAGAGAGAGATTCATCATTAGGAGAAAAATCATGCATAGCTAAAACTGAACAAATACAATTTTTTGGGTCGTAGATTTCATAGATTTCATAGACATCAGGGCTGGAAGGGACCTCGGAAGATCATCGAGTCCAGCCCCCCGCCCAAAGGGCAGGAAGTCAGCTGGGGTCATAGGATCCCAGCAAGATAAGCATCCAGTTTCATCTTGAAGGTGTTCAATGAAGGCGCTTGAAGCACCTCCGGTGGCAGGCTGTTCCAGACCTTGGGGGCTCGGACAGTAAAGAAGTTCTTCCTTATGTCCAGCCTGAAACGATCTTGAAGTAGTTTGTGACCATTTGACCTCGTCATCCCTTGGGGCACTCTGGTGAACAAACGTTCCCCCAGATGCTGGTGGTCACCCCTGATAAACTTGTAGGTGGCCATCAGATCACCCCTGAGCCTGCGCTTTTTCAGGCTAAAGAGCCCCAGGGCTCTCAGCCTGTCATCGTAGGGTCTGCTTCCCTGACCTCTGATCATGCGCGTGGCTCTTCTCTGGACTCTCTCAAGCTTCTCCACATCCTTTTTGAATTGTGGAGCCCAAAACTGGACGCACTACTCCAGCTGCGGCCTCACCAAGGCCGAGTACAAAGGGAGAATGACGTCCCGGGATTTGCTTGAGAAGCATCTATGGATGCAAGCCAGCGTTTTGGTCGCTTTACTAGCCGCCGCATCGCATTGCCGGCTCATGTTCATCTTGTGGTCAATGATGACCCCCAAGTCTCTTTCTTCCATAGTGCTAGCCAACATAACACTGCCGAGCCTATAAGGATGCTGCGGGTTTTTTTCCCCCAAGGTGGAGAACCTTGCATTTATCGGCATTGAACACCATCAGATTCTCGTCCGCCCACTTGCTGAGCCTGTCCAGGTCAGCCTGGATAACCTGCCTGTCTTCTGGTGTGGATGCTTTGTCCCAAAGTTTGGTGTCATCGGCGAACTTGGCCAGTCCGCTTCTGACTCCAGTGTCCACATCATTAATGAAGATGTTGAACAGTATGGGGATGATGAAAGGGAAAAAAGTCACAAGAACATTACTGCTAAAAAGAAAAGATGGAGTAGCTGTGAGAATAAGGGACATCTCCCTCTCTCAGCTGAGAAGGCTTTCATCTGCTGTTTTATACTGAGCTCATTCTGAAAACAAACATTAATCATTTACACTGAACTCTGTAAAGTTACTCAGTGCAGTAATGGTTATGAGAGATCATTTCAGGATTTCTTTGTGAAGCAATTCCAAATGAACTATTTAAACAAAAAGTGATAAGATTTCTGAACTGGATTCGCCAAATATTATTGTGGGATGGAAAAAATACAATGCTGACTCAAAATTCTTCAAAAAATCTTCAACAGAAAAATAATTACTTACCTATGTTATGGTCATTAGCAACTACCAAAAAGTCTCTTCCTAGTAAGGGACTGTCAGTCTGAAAGTTTTATTTAGGCAATGGCTCTAGCAAAGTTTTATTTAGGCAATACCAAAATATAATATATGTCTAGTTTTTTCAGAAAGGCAGAAACTCTGAGGTCACATTTCGTATTTGATACCATTCAGTACATATATACATTATTACTCCCCCGAAACACCTACCAAATGCATCATCGCAGTACAGAACAAATACAGAATCAAAACACGCTGACAAATTTTGAATTCTCTTTCAGTCTAATAGACAAAACAGATCTTAAATCATAAAAATCCTGAAATCTGGATTGATGTGAATTTTGAGGCCTACCTCATTTCCATCTTCCTCCCAAAATCCGTTCTCTAACAATTATTTCCACAGAATTTAACGAGAACAGACCACAAACCCTTGCAGGCAAAATCTGACATTAGAAAACAGTTTAATTATGAACTGAAAACAAAAAATGAGGTTGGAGATTAAAAGAATTTGCTAATAAGGAATAAAGGCAGTTGTGTTTTTCCTCATATTTCAGCCCTGATTCTGGGTTACAGCAATTTCCATTTAGTACCTGCTTTTCTGAACATGCATGTTAGGAGTTACATCTTTTGACTCCAAGTTGGTGATAAATATTGCACAGAAAAAAATCCCGAATTTCTTTCTCAAGTGCTGTCACATGTTATCGCCTCTCATGGTCGTGTTATTTTCCTCTAATTGTTGATAGACAGAAAGGAAAATAAGGCATTGAAAGTGAAGGCTGCTCATAACTTTATGTGGCTATAATTTCTATGTAAATTACATGGAAAAACTGACCTACAGTAATGAAACTAAGGACCAGATACTATACACTTTTAGAGAATAGAGCCTGACCCAACAAGTTGCTTCAGGTTATAGACAGATGTAACAATTGTGTCAATATTAAAGGACAACAATAAGCTGCTATGATGCAACTATTACATCTGCATGACTGTGTAGCGCTGCAGAAGGGGGCCCAAGGCGCTGTCCAAAGCACTCTTCCACCTTCCCATTGAAGCTGGTTCACTGCATCTTACTTTTATTATATGAAAGAATAAATGGTAGTGGGATATTTCTGCCTTATCGGGAGTGGGTGTGGGCTAAAGCCCAGAGCCCTCTTCTCTTCCAGGGCAGCAGTCACCTCACTGAGCCACACACCCTCTGGCTTGTTCTTCCACCTTACCCCATATGTCTTCCCCTCCTGGCTGCCCAGTGAGTGCTCTTCAACACTAGGGACAGAAGTTACACATAAACTGGTTTAAGTGATTAGACACTGGTTTAAACCTGTAACAGAATAGAAGTTCAGTGCACATAAACCAATTTTAAAAATAGTTGAAACTGATTTAAGATAAACCTGGTTGAATGTAGCATCACACTTAACCGATTTAGGTCAAAGCAGTTTATACAACTTCTGCCCCAGACCCCTTCCTGGTTCAAGTTAAATCAGAGTCCCCCAGCATCCCAGCATTTCGCAGACCTGGGTTGGGCTGGGCTGGGCTATCTGCTCCAGAGAGCAGGACTGGTCCTGCCCCTCTGGCAGAGCAGTGAGGGGTGGATTACTGGCCTCACTGGCTGGCTCACTGCCTGCCCCCACACCACCCAGGCAAACCTCAGCTGGAGTCTGGGGCCAGGGAGGGAGGCTAAACTTCTCTTCCCCCAAGTACGGAGCTGCCCTGACTTGCTAAACTTACTGCTGGCTGTGACTGTGAACTACAAATCCAAGAGGCACTTGGAAACAGGAAGAGGAAGTGATGAGCAATCCTGCAGAGTCTTGCTACTGTGATTGTGGACTGCAAATCCCAGTGACCTCAGGGGCAGCGGGAAGAGGAAGCAAATATACACCCCATGTTGGCTACATGCTAGAGCCATGCTTTAGTGCCCCCTGGCTTTTAGCTTGAGTCACTGCAGGCATGTGGCTGCATTTCCTGAACCAAAAGTGAATGCCTATTCATTTGCTTATCGGTTTAATCTTTGCAGCTTAGACTTATGTATGCCTGGGCAATTCTGTTTTCCCTATGCTGCTCTACAGCTCAAGTGTGGCCTGCTGTGCATGCTCAGTAGATTAGCATGGGGTGTGCGGAATACTACTGTGCATAAATGCCAAAAATGGCAATTATGTGAATGCATATCAGAAACTTAAATGCATAATCAGAAAATAGGATCTGGGCCAAAATGACTGTCCAAGATCACATGCATTAGCAACCTTAGGAACATAGCTCTAGGCTCCAAATTCCCCATCCAGATCCCAGTCCACTGGACCACATTGGTTCTCAACATGGCTAAGATATTGGAACTTGTGCTTCACTCTCTATTTTACTCATAGTTTTTAAAATTGTATTACATTGTAGCATCAGGAGAAGTCTGGCTAGTGCTGGCTGCTGCTCCATAGAAGTAAGATAGCACCATGAGTTTAGAATATTTTTTGTACAACCACAAGTAGCATACCCTTTTTTTTCTTTAAGAGAAAGCTTTGGTTCAGTAGAAACCGAATCTCTTGTAGGGTATGAAGATTAATGCAGCATGGTGGATCTGGTTTAGTAACCAGGAATGTGGATAACGAGATGAAGAAAAAGAGGGAAAAGATGTTCTCAAATGGCTACTCAAGGCAAATGCAGTATGATCCATAGACAGTTTCACAAGATATTCCTAATTTTCATGGGAACAAATACCTTTTGAAGCTCACTATCTGAGGATATATTTGAATTTATACTTATTTTACATTTTAATTTACATTTTGTTACACGTGGGAG